CTCTAAACCTAGAATGCTCTCCCTCCTCATCTGTGCTTTCTGGGTTCCTTTAAGTCCCACCTTATATCCTACCAGATTCTACAGAAGCCTTTCCAATCTCTCATATCCCTCTGTTAATTATTTCCTGTTCATCCTGTATATAGCTTTTTTGTATATAGTTGTTTGTATGTTGTCTCTCCCATTAGATTTTGGGCTCCTCAAGGGCAGGGACTGTATTTTTCATTTCTTTGTATCCCCAGTGTATAGCACAGTGCCTGGTACTTAACAAATATTTATTGACGATTGACTGACAAATAATTCATTAACAAACTTTAAGAAGATAATACATTTGTAAATTTAGTACTTCCTATACTTGTAACATCCTAGATACATGGTTTTTATTATAGATTTCCAATCTGAACTTTGAAAGTAGAAAAATCAACATCTCTTGATCTACATAGAAGTGATTTTCTAAAGGATTAAAGGAAACAATATTAAACAATTTATACATTTACTGATTAAATTTTTATAAGGTGCTTTGATGTTGAGTTTGCTAAAGCATGAAGGGGTCAAGATCTGTATCAACAGAGGGAATACCCACAGTACTGAAATCATGGTACTGTGAAGTACGTTATGATAAGGAAACCCATCAAATACATAAAATGAAAAAGCTGATACTAGTGCAATATGAAGCTAGATAATTATGTCATCATACCTTAAGCATGTGGAAGTCAGGAAACCACTTTATTTTGACTGTTGCAACTTTTACCTCCCTAACTTTTTTGTATAATCATTTTTATGGTTTATATGTAACTAAACATAAAGGGTTTTTGGTTTTATTTTTAAAGAAAAGGCAAGGTTAGAAGAGAATAATGTAGACAGAAGGAAATAGAATATTTGAACACCACCTTTTTAAAGGGAAAAAGCTATCATCTAGTCTTACTTTTCATCATCCATTCAGCTCAGTTAACCTAGTTCTTAATAAATCCCACAGAAATGGGGCTCCTTGCTGCCTTCATGCCTTTATAACATTTCCTCAAATTCCATTCTTCTCTCTGTTGATTCACTTCCTACACAACATGGTCCTAATCTTTCATGAAACTTCCTAGTACTTGACAATATTTTTCTTAACTTTGAATTGTTCTCTGGTTATTTTATATATGCACATGAGAGGCAGTTCTGAGATTGTGGAAAGAGAAATTAATTTGGAGGTAGAAGACCTTGTCAGTTCTATTGTGGCTTAGGGTAAGACTGTACCTCTCTGGGCCTCAGCTTCCTGAGTGAATGAACAGGCTGGATTAGATGTCAAGCACTTTTCAAACCTTAAAGTAATATAAATGTGAGCCATTATGAGCTACTATTTGATTTCAAGTTACCTACCTTTGACCTCTAAATCCTATAATGTTATGGTTTTTGTCTCTTCAATTACCTAAGCTCTTATCTTTTGCTCTTTTCAGTACCCATATAGGTGAATATAGTATCACCACACAAATGTTTAATAAGTCCTTACTGAATGAATGAATGAATGACTAGAAATCTGAAAGGAGGTAGTAACTATCTTTGCTGTATGTCATAATGACAATTTAAAATTCCATCAATTTGTTCAGTTACTTCTAAAAATTTGGCATCATATATCAGTATATTTAAATCTTAAAGAAACTGAAGTTGTTTGGCAGACAGAATGTCAGCCTGGGTCTTGGAGTTGATGAATTTGTCATACAAGAAGTCTGCACTAAATTACTATTCTAACACTTTGTCATAATATAGAAAGGCCCTAGGTTCTCCACGTCTATGCCAATGGAACATAAGCTAGCCATAAGCTCAACATAAGAGACCACTCTGGAAATGGTCTGGATACAGATTTGCCAATAGCCAGGGATCTAACTAAATTTGAAAATGTTCATTACCAACCAGTAGGATTATAATCAAATTATAAGTTTTTTTTTTAAAGCCACAGCAACTCATGAAACTGTTTATTAAGATATGGAAGGATTACAATCTCCATTTTAGTAAAAGTAGTTCCCACATGTACAAAATCACAGGTACTTTTAAGTATTGGGGAAATACATTAAAAGGAATTATAGTACAGGAATATAAGTAAGAATTAAAAGGAATATAAGTAAAGAATACAGAAGATAATGACCAGTTAATTACATTTTTTTCAGTCAGTTGAATAACTAAATTTATAATAATACCTAGCATTTATATGGTGCTTTAAAGTTTACAAAATGCTTTACATATGTTATCTTATTTCCATTCCATTTTCCACTCATCTGGAAAAATTATTTTCCTAAAGTGTATGTATGACCATGTTTCCACCCCCAATAAATGCCACTGGCTCCCTATTTCCTCCAGAATCAGATATAAAGTTCTGTGTTTGGCATTGGAGAGCTCTTCAAAACTAGGCTAGATTTTAAAAATAACTATATTACTTTATAATCCTAAGGAACTGTTATAATTATATAACTGAATGAAAGACAATCTATTTTCATGCTCCAGAATACAAACTGAACTGCAGAAGTCACAAAGGAATTCTTTTTTCCTAAATAATGAGCATTAGAATTGGTTAAAATTTGGAATTTCTCTCCAAGATTAGAAATTTGCCACAACAGAGGCTAAGTTTCACAGAGGTGTCAGAGTCCTTCTGAACTTGTCTTGGTCTCACTGGATCAATGGCCCAAACCTCATTTGTGGAATACAGTCGTGTTAGCATTCCACCATCATTTGGGGAAACTTGGTATCTTACCATAACATGACATAAAGTCTTGATATGCTCCCCTGGACTGCAGGAATAGAGTGGGACTCCCCATAGCACTGGCTGACCACATATAGGGCAATAAAGAACAGTTCCTGGACTAAAGAGAATCAACAGTGGTACTGAAAAACCCTTTGGCAAGCTTGTTGGAGCTCTGTTCTGCAAGAGCAGTCTACTGTTTCTCAACTTATGTCAGATCCTTTGGTATCCCCCAGTGCTAAGGTGAAGGTAAAGGGCAAAGACTGACCTACAAATGAGGTGTTTGGTACCGCACTTATTTTGGTTTTTCTGATACTTCAAATTCAATGGCATTTTTTTCAGCCCTTTTGGTCTTAGTTGTTTAGTTAAGTTGGCTGAAGCCTGGTGCTAATGCAGTCAGTAATGCACTTAAAAAGATTTATAGAAAGGTCCTTACAAAGATTTATAAAGAGAAAAATATCTACCCCATGACCAGAAATTGCATCCTTTCCTTAGTCTAGTGTTTCTCATACTTTTTGGTCTCGGGACCCCTTTCCACTATTAAAAATGACTGAGGACCCCATAAAGAACTTTTGTTTATGTGGGTTATATCAATTGATAGTTACAGTATTAGAAATTAAATGTCTTCTTTTTATTACGAAAATAGATCTTACGAACCTTCTGAAAGGGTTCTGGTTCTCTGAGAACTGCAGCCTTAGACAGAAGCTTTGCAAATTTGGATCTTTGTGACTACAAAGGGGACTGAAATAAATGTGTGAACAGTTTAATGAAAAAGCCTATCACTACTACCAGACAAACTCAAATATGTGTCGTTCCTGATGGTGAATCAGTAAAGTGTAGTGATATACACACCACTACATGCTATTATCTTTCTGTGGTTTTTCTTCTAGAATTCATCCAAACATTTATTAAATGCACGCTATATGCACTGGACAGCATTTGGTGCTAAGGGGCTATAAAGATGAATACATACAGTCTATACCCTCCAAGGAGTATACAATCTAGTAGAGGAGAATATAATGCTTTTTCAGTTAAACTGGAACTCTACAAAAGGTGGAGTGGGAAGAAATGAATTCTTAGGTCTAAATCCCTTGTTTATCTTATTAGAATTTGGTTTTTTAAACTGCTGTGCTTATTATGCTTTTTTTTTTAAAGAAGAGGTCTTTCAGTTTATTTCAGTCAAACAAGAACTTGTTTATTAAACAGTCACTACAGCCAAGCTCTGTGTGCCAGCTTATTATGCCTTAGTAATAAACAGAACACAAAGTCATGGCTATGAGTTTTCTAATGATAAAGAGGACTGGTAATCTGCATTTTATTCTATTCTCACAAAAAAAGGAACATCATTGAAAAGCCCAATCTTATGTGATGAAGTGTGTGTATATATTACTTAATCTATAATACTATATATATATATATATGTATTATCTATAGCTGACGTGCCTATGTTAATTTATAATTTTTTAGAGCTCAACTTAAAGTTGCAGATAAACAAATTTTTAGAGGTTTGGAAACAAACACTATGAGTGAAGTCATCCAAAAATACCTAATATGACTCTATTAAATTAAGTGAAACTTAAGTTGAGTAAAACTATATAGCATGCCATCTCAAAACCACCACTACAAAAAAACATCAATTTCACTTTTAGATTTCCTCCACATTAGCCAAACTGTATCAAGTAACTTTAACATGTGCTTTAATTAACATTTATTTCCCATAAGCTAAACAAGAAGATTGTAGTTTTCTTAGTGCACATTCCTCTTATACAAAACCAGAAAGGTCTATGCCCACTTGCTCACCTCCCCAGAAGAATTCTGCTGGAAAAAACCACGCTTGCAGTCGCTAGTGTACAAACTCTTAGTCTTTCACCTCTATATACTTTTTTTTTAAAAGCATGGATGTACTTTTGGTCCAACTTAATCAAGGCAGCTTTGCTCTTTAAAAAAATTAGAATTAACCACCTTTATTTGCAACAGAATAAATGCTATTATTTATAAAGATAGCATTTCTACAACCCCAAAAAGTAATTTGTCTGGCTCTCTTCCTTCTATGACATAAGTATTCATAGTTACCAAGAGCAAAAAGAGTCCAAACAATTGGAACCCAAACAAATATTTTCCAGTGGACAGGGCTCTAAAATAACTTTTTCATCCTATAAAAAAAAATCCAACCAAAAATCCACCTGCTATCTTGAAACTATCAGTGTTCAAGTCTTCCCTCCCTTCATGGTCAGAAAACACACCAGAATAAGAATACTTTTCCAGAAAGGTAATTGGTTATACTTACTTAGATGAGGGAGAGTTCTTAAGACTACATCTCTTTGCACTGAAGATTGAGAGGAGGCAAACAAAAGAAAACAAACAAACAAACAAAAAACCCCAACAAAGAACGGCTGTGTCTTATTTTCTCCTGGACAGTTCTATTTACACTGCCTGGAAAAAAAAAAGCTGGAAGCATCCTTTTCTTTACCTTGGTCTTACAAGAATCTCAGTTTTGAGGATATATAGAGAGGAAGAGGATGAAGATGAGGAGAGAGAATAAGCATATTGATGAGGAGAGGAGGAGTATAAGGATGAAGAGGGATGGATAGGCATAAGGATGAGGAACATAAAAGACAAGAAGAGAGGATAAGGATGAGAAGGGAGGACGAGCATAAGGAGGAGGAGAGAGGATGAGAATGGGGAGGGAGGATGAGGAAGAGAAGTGAAAATCAGGATGAGGAGAGAGAATGATCATAAAGAGGAGACAGGATGACGAGCATAAGGATAAGGAGGAGAAGGAAGGATAAGCATAAAGATGAAGAGAGGATAAAAATGAGGAGGGAGGATGAGGATGAAGAGGGAGAAAGGAAGGGATGATAAAAGTGGTTAGTGGAAGTAGGAATAACAACCAGCCACCAGCCACTGAAGTTGGACCTGTAAAGGAGTGGCAGAAAAAAAATATTACCTTAAAAAAAATTAAAATCACCCCTGAGATTCAGGCGGAAGGGGGAATCACGATAGGAAGGGGGTGGGGGTGGTGGAGAAAAGAGAAACACCTGTTTCTTGCAAAAAAAAAAAAGTCATTCGAGCAGGAGAGCAGGAGCCTTTTGGCCCTCCCCGGCCACGCCAGGCCGGCCGAGCAGGGGCCGCCGCCCCCGCCCCGCCGGGCACTCGTCCTTGGGCTCGGGGGGTCGCGGGCCGCCGCCCCCGTCCTGTACCTGGGCAGCGGCGCGGTGCCCTCTGCGCCCCTGCCCCCCTCTCTCTAGCTCCAAGATGGTAGGAAAGTTGTCGTTTCGCAGGGCCGAGGAGCGGCTGTCTGGTGTTATGTCCTCTCAGTGCCGGTAGTGGTGCTGTAGGAGGCTGCTGGCTCCTCTTGTGGTGCAGCCCCAGCAGCCCTGCCTTCTTGGCTGGAGCCTAGTTTCAGGGATTTCCCCTCAATAATCACCGACCCCGGGAGCGCTCCGGAGTTTCCCCAATAAAAAGATGATGCTCGGCGCCCCGGCCTGAGCGGGAGAGGCTCTCGGGGAGCCCGGGGGGGAGCGGCGGCGGCGGCGGCGGCGGCTCCTCGCCCTCGGCCAGCGCCTCTCTCCGCGCCTCTCGTCTGTCAGCCCAAGCCGAGGGGAAAGGGGGGAAGAGGAGGGGAAAAAAAGCAGCTCCAAGGTAAGCGGAGGCGGCCCCAGGCCCGGCCCCCCATCCCCGGGCTCCCGTAGGGCACCGGGCCGGCCCGGGGAGGCAGGGCGGGCGCCGGACGTGCTCACGTGAGGCCGGGGAGGCGCCGGGCCGCCGCAGGCCCGGGGGCCGGGAATGCCCGGGTAAGGGGGCCGGGGGCTGGGGCGGCGGCCGCCCAGGGGCTGGGGGTCTCGGGACCCCCGCTCACCGCACAGGGGCCTCCGCCGCGGGAGGGGAACGAGGGCTGCGGGGCTGGGGAGCCGGGCCTTGGGGATGGGGGGGTGAAAGTGCGTGGGGGAGGGGAGGGGGAGGCGCCGCTTAGGCCTCAGGCCGGCGGGACCCCCGTGACCACGGGCCCCCCTGGCGCCCCGGGACCCCCCGTTGAGGCTCCAGGATACCCCCCCACACACACACCCACAGCAAGGGGGAGCAGGCCCACCCTGGCCTGGGGCTGGCACCCGGGAGCCCCGGCCCTGGGCCAGACCCCACGCTCCAGCCCGGGAGCGGCCCCCGTGGGGCGGCGGGGCCTGGCAGGGGCAGAAATGGGGGGCAAGCGGCCCATCCTCAGCCCCCCCCGCCATCATCGCCCCCTCCAGCTCGGAGCCGTGACCCGGGATGGCCGCCGTGGGTGGGTGGGTGGGGCGGGCGTGGGGAGGCAGGTGCAGCCGCGGCCCCGAAAGTTTCCTTTCAGGCCCGCGTTGGGGGGCTGGCCTCCCCGCGGGGGACCCCGGAATTTGCGCCCGAGCCCCCTATCTCCGGCTGGGGTGCGGGTAGGGAGCGCGCGGGGTGGGGTTTTTAGAAACTCTTTGCCGGCTCCGGGTTTCTAAGGGTAATCCCTCCCCGGCGTCCCCCACTCCAACCTTGCCCCACCCCGCTCCCCGGAGAGCCCTTCCCAGACCAGGACCCCGACCCAGCCTTCTCCCCACTTCCCCCACAGAACACCCCCCCCGAACTCCCAGGGGGCGAACCTCCTCCTTAGGGAAAAGTTTGCCTGTTCAACCCTGTGGGCTTGCTTTGGGGTGGGGGTGGGGGTGGGGGCGGCGGCGGGAAGGGAGGGGGACCCAGGACCTCCTCCCAGCCTGAGTCTTGGCTTGGCTCCTTTCACACCGAAATCCCCCTATGCCAAGCTCTTGTGATTTCTTGGGGGATAGTGGTGTTGAGGGGAAGGCATAGCACCGGTCTGGGTAGTTCTTGGGCTTAGGGATGTGATTAGGGAGCAGTGAGGAGATTGTCACTGATAGTGGGCAGGGATTTCTGGATCCAGCCCCGATATCCAGGGGTTCTCGTTACTATTTAGTCCGTGTCTGGTACAAGTTAAGGAAATGCCCTGTTCTGAGACACTATGAAGGGTTAGAAATAGCTGAGGGTGGGACGAGGAGGAGGAAGAGGAGAAAGGTACACTGAATACATTTAAAAATGCTTCTTGATTGATTCATAGTTATAGCAACTCATGAATTAAGGTTCTTTCCATCTGTGAAAATTTACCTTAATAGATAGTCATTTGGGTTTATGTAATATTCTTAGCGGTGCCATCAGAATAGGAAAATGAGAATTTTAAGGACACTTCTTGTGCCTGTAGTAGGGTCAGAAGAAGGGAACCTAAAGGATCTTTGATGAATGTGATCTTGCTTACTTTTTCATAATATGTGTTTCAATATTTTTTTTTAGCTATATTTGGGGTCTGTGATCCTTGAAAGAGCTATATAGAAGACATATTGTTTTAATTTGAAACCCAGGTTTCTTACTTTTCAGGGTGTGCTTTCCTGGAGCTACAGTTACCTTTGATATCGTTACATAGTGTTTAAAGTGTTTATGATTTTGCCAAGTTCCTTCTCCAGTGTTGCCCCCCCACACCCCCAATTTGTTGTTGTTGCTATTTTTGTAAATTTAGGGCAGTATGTCTCCACACACACACTCCTCCTGTCCTGTACCAATGCTTCATGCTGGGATTTTGCTGGCAGATTATTTCACTTCCTGACAATTCGACCTCCAGAATACTATTAAGTAGTGAAAATCGGACACTTTGAAAACACTATGATATTTTTCCTCCCATTGCTTACTTATGTCCAACTTCTAAGTGAGACCCTTTAGGTGACTTTTATTAAGTATTTCATTCTTTCTTAAAAACAAAACAAAGGTGAAATAATTTAATCTGAGTGACTCCAAGCCTTTTTTTTTAAGCACAGCCCTGAAGATCTTGAATGCAAAGATTGCCTGGAGTTGATACAAATTATAATAGCAACTGCATCTGATACCTATTTAACTTCTTTAAATAGACTTGAGGGGTTTTTTTTTTGGTGTACTAAACTGTTACAGTATCTTGTGACTTACGTGTACAAAAAGGTCGGTGTCATTCAGCAATTACAATTTTGCTGGTGAAATAAAAATAACTGACAGCATTTTAACTTTTGCAAAGTACTTTATACACATTATCTTACATAAGATATTCAAATTTTGCAGATGAGAAAACGTGCTGATTTGGTCAGACTGCCCATGAATATTAAGAGGCAAGAAAGTAATGTGGTGTAATTGAAAAAAAAATTGGTTGTGGAGTTGGAGGGCCCAGGTATGAATTTAGGATTTGTGGCTCTTTCTGTTAGTGTGGCCTTGGAAAAATTGCTTGAAAACTCTTGGCCTCAGTTTCCTTATCTGTAAAATGAGGTAGTTGAGCTAGATTATCTCTAAGGTTAATTTTTTTTTAAGATTCATTTTTGCTCTAAATCTCTGATCCCTTTCAAGTCCCTTCCAGCTCTAAACTTATGATCTGTTTTCTACAGATTCGAACTCAGGTTCTCCTGACTCCAGGTCCAGTGCTTTCCCACTACCACTCAGCCTCTAAAAGGAGTTAAACAGGTACCAACAGCAGTTTGTTTACATTTTGATTTGGGTCATATCCCTTGCAGCCTCCAAATTGATGGTTTCAGAATTGTAGATGCTAAAATTGTTTGGTGTCATTCCAAAAAGAAAAGAGCAGAGTTTTATTTTAGTGAACTAGTGGAGAGGTTAGTTTTTTTTTTAATTTGATACTTTTAAAAGCAACTGCTTGCATTCTTATTATTTGATTTATAGATGTTGGGCAAATAGGTGGCACAGGGCAGCACTGGATAGAGAACTGAGCTGGGAATCAGGAAGATCCGAGTTCAAATCTGGCCTCAGACACTAGCTGTGTAACACTGTGCAAGCCATTTCACCCTGTTTGCCTCAGTTTCCTTATCTATAAAATGTACTGGAGAAGGAAATGGCAAACCACTCTAGTATCTTTGTCAAGAAAACCTCAAATGGGGTCATGAAGAATCAGACATGACTGAACAGCAACAATAGATGTATGGGATTTCACATTGCTTTTGAGAAAGTTACAAGTATTTTAAAGTGTGCATATAGGTGCACACAAACATTGTATTCCCATTTTTCCCTTTTCCTACTCCAGCCCAATTCATCTAATTTGTTCATGATGAGTATCTTTTCTTCCAAGAGAAATGGTAGGTTTCACTTAAAAAAGAAAGTTACTTGTACTTGAAACTAGTGAAAGCACAAGACTCAGGAGGAATAAGTATTGGATTGACTTCAGATTAGTAAAGTTATATTCTTTTTCACCATTGGTATTTTAGTTTAATAAGTAGGTCACAGAATATCATAGATTGTCAGAGCCAGAAGATTGGAGATCATCTGGTTCAATTCTTAAGAATAGAATGTTTTGTTCTATTATAAAAGATTTAAATAATCAAACTTTTATGCCATTTAAAGACTAGGACAATTACTGAAAATTCTTGTATTTTTCTTTCTTACATATATATGTAACTAATTTTTTTTTGGTAAGGTGGAGTTTAAAATTTTGAATTCCATAACAATAAGTAAAAGCTTTGAAAGCGTTTTTTTGTATTTTTAGCTGAGACAGGCTTTTTTTCAAATTTTTACCCTTTGTTATGATAACTGACACATATATCACTTAAAAGTTTGCAAAAGACATTATATACATAGTCATTTGAGCCTCACAACAACTCTTTGAGGGAGATACCTCAGTATTATTCCCATTTTACTGGTGAGGAAACTCAGAATCAGAGACTTGCCTTTGGTTGCACATTTAAACCAGATACTACAGATTCTGGCTCTAGCATTCAGTTAACCAACACTGGATACAAGTAAAATGAATAAAACAATCCCTACTGGAAAGAATTATAATCTAATGGGAGAGACAAGTAGACATACATCAATCTGTATAGCCTAAATATAAAGTAAATAAATACAAAGTAAATATATACAAAGTAGTCAAATGCAAGGTAGGGCAGGAACAATTTGGGC